TTCTAATGATTACTGTAAATTTGTAGTACAAATCTATAGCGCAGTGTGTAACCATACCTATACTGATCGAATTTTGGGATATTGCCTGTCGAATATATTAATATGATTTCGATTAATAAAAATATGAATTCTATCCCCTCCATAATTATCAAATACACAGGTAAACTTTCTTTCAATCAATTATTTAGAGTACTTGATAATATAAATAAATGTCTTGTGCAAAACTCTATCAAAATTTGGTACGAGATTCACATTTTAAAAATGTATTTTATTAATCTCGATATTTAAAGTTACAAAAAATTTTAAACAAAATATATATTAGGTATACAAAAAATTTTTATAAAATTTTGAATATATTCCAACATAGAGTGAACCAAGCTTTTAAATGAGCATGCATGACCTGTGCGCCACGCTTCGATTCCAATTTATGTGATGCTCGGCAACTATTACCAAGTTCTTGGATTTTGCCGTCACTTCCTGGACGATCATGATCAATAGAAAGATACTACGTATTTTTTTAAATTGTCTAAACATTCATTTATCATGTTGTTTTGTTGCATATCTAATGATAAATATATTAATTTTATGATTTTTTTTCAATAATATTATAATATTACAATGAATACCATCAATAAAATCAAATTAAAAAATATGTATTATGTAAATTTACAATTTATAATTATTTATCCGATTGTCTAATTACTACTAATATTATTACTAATACTAAAAACAGTTTTTTAATTGTGACATACTCCATGATTTTATTTGTGTAACATATTTATTTTATTAACAGGATCAAAAACTTGTTGATCTCAATGGCCAAATAAAAAAAGTTCTTTCAGACGAAAATAAACGAAAATAAAATGATAAAAAAAAGGCTCTTCAAATTAAATAAATGATAAAAAAAAAAAAGGTTCTTCGAGTCGGGTGAAAATAAAAAAAGTTTTTTCGAAATAAACCAAAGATATTGCTAGTTCTTCATTGTTACTATCTATAATTATCATCATCATCGCTACCAATAATATCCATGTTTCCATTATCATCACTGTCGTTATGTTCTTATGTTTTCAACCCATAATTTTAATTACTGCTTTTCTTTACTGCTAAGAATACCGATCACTTCGTCATAATCGATTCCACTAGAACTTCTACCGCAATAGATTTCTCGTTCCGTTCCTCCTCCTCCTCTTCTTCTTCGCTAGAAACTTATCTATTGTTCGTTGTCGTTGCATTATTATCATTATCATAATTACTACCAGTACCGCATTCCCATTACCGCCACTTTCCTCCATATTATCACCTTCCAGCACACCCTCATCGTTCCTTCCATTAAAAAGTTCTTTTCGAATTAGGCCAAAGATAAGCAAAAGATAAAAAATGTTTTTTCGAGTTAGACGAAAGATAACAAGAAATAAAAAAAGATAAAAAATCCTTTTCAAGTTAACGACAAGGGTACGAAAAGGGGCTTTTTAGTTGTTATTATTTAGAAGACGAAAAGAGTTTTTTTAGTTATTATTATTCAGAAAAGACTGTTGCTTATGTATTCTTATATGACTCTAATTATTCCTTAAATGAAAAAGTACACAGCGACAATGGATCTCGATTTAACGGATAATTTGTCTGTTAAGTATAGAATATTCAAATAATAAATCACATGATATCTGTTATCTGCTTCAATTTTTGAGGTTACTACAGTTTTAGAGTCTCGATTGATTAGATAATTTTTACTTGGTAAATTATTATCGTTTCGCGGATGGATTGTTAAAATAATTCTTGATTACCCCACATAAAGCAATACCCATACGAATGCCTAAATTATTTTGCATCTTCTCATCAATTTTCAAAAAATTTACAGCAAGATGGAAAACCTTCTTTTGAAGGATAGCCATGGCTTTACACAAAGAGTTCCTTTTTGATGGTGCAGTTTAATAATAATAATATGATTTTTTAAAAACGGTTTGTTACACAATTCGAATTTGTCACATTTCAAAATTGAGTGAGACATGATCAAAACAAAACAAAAACATTCTTTATCCAATCCCATTGAAATTAATGCTTAAAAACGACTTTTAAATGGCTTTAAAGAGATTCCTAAAATCAATTCAAAACCCCACAATTCAACTCCAGTTTAACTCCGGCAGCAAGAAAAAAAAATTATATTTTTTTTTTGATGGGTGAAATTAACCGAGTTATCACAGTCAAATCTGCCCACATGAAAATTAAACACATCTGTAATATTTTGCACATAAATATTCCGTTCTTTTGACCGCATGCATGATTTTCTTTCATTGATTACTTACTATTTGCTATCGGATATTTTTTTGTGTCTCCGTTTTACCCCCAATATCCTTTCATTTGAAAATAACTAATTCAATCTCCTTCCAAAAAAATTTTCCTATAAAGAATGTGGGAATTATTAGTGCTTCCAAATGGAAATCCGTAGCTGTTACCGTGGTGTAACCTCGCGAAAAGTTCCCTTCTCAACCAAATTGATTTCAAAGATTGATTGATATATTTTTTATTGTTCCAACTTACATATTAATGAAATTACATCTAATCAAACTTTCAGGATTTTTCAGGATGACGCAACTCTTTGTTCGATTGGTTCATTTAGAAGCAATAATAATAAATGTTTATTGCTCAAACCACTTTAGTCCAATAAATGGAATTGTTCAATTTAATAGATAGATATATAGATAGAAAGAAGGCATTCAATATTTTTTTTATTAGTATACAAGTAAATCTTGCATTTCAACGGCACAAACGTAACACAAGTAGTTGTATCACATGATCAAAACAAACATGACTATGACCAAATTGACATTGGCTGATGGCCATAAAATTCCTTCTTTTTATGTGAAATGTTATCTTATTGGTTGTTTTTACTGTGATATCCTTTTAAACTACTCTAGAAGTGAGTATGTCGCGTATGATGCTGTTATCACCGTCGATCATCAATTATTTGAGGTTATCATTTGATGTTTTTAGTAGTAGTGAAATAACTGCGACTTGATGATTAGTGGTAGTGTAATTCTGCCATATTTTCTCCAAGTAGAAGGCCTTGATTAGCACAATTCTAAGCCCAATCCTACTTTTTTTTTTCAATTCTGTCGCTACAATTATGAAATTGCATAAATTCTTTAATACTAACTAATATAAATCTACTGCATGATTCAAAAGATAGCAAGATTGACCCGGTTTATTTATCCAGTTTATTAAATCAACCGCATTTGATTGTGTTTCACTCGCTAAAGTTCCTTTATTTCATTTCGTTGAGGATATTTTAATATTAATGGTTTATCACTCACGCCATTCCATTGCATAAGTAACTCAGTAAACTTCTTCTTCCTAAACGGGTTTGATATATAAATGGCTTTGATCAAGCTGTTTGTATATTTTCTATGTTCTTCTTCTTTTATATAGGAGAAGGTACCACTACTTATTCTGTTATTAAAATAAATTAATAGGTGTAGTGTTTTTTCTTCAATATATTCAATAAAAATAAATGATGTTATTTCTTCTTCAGTAGTATTAATACTATCTTGTAATTAATTAATAATATGCATCTTGGTTGATGTTTTGTTAGTCATTGTTATCCTTGAACAATTTCTGTACTATATATCATTGTTGCAGTTACTAATCTTTTTCAATGCCTCTCCCAATAAGACCTAAAGTTTTGTTTGAACGGTACGATAGCCAGTGATTCCGCGAGTATTATGGATTGTTTACAAATATAAAATAAGTTCCGTAAATAGAACTATTATAGTTTAATAAAGCATGACATTAAAATTTTAGCACCTTCATAGATTCTGCGAATCTATTTGTTTATTACATTGCTAGATAATTAATAAAAAAGCGCTTGTCCCAACTTTGTTTTTTAATATTAATACCAATACTAATATTTGGATCAGAGATCTCTTGTTATTTTCATTTGTTAGCCAATCA